CTCCCCGCTGGGGTCAGAGGGACCTCACCCCGCACAGGCCTTGATCCCGCAGCGCGGCCGCGTTTGGACACGCGCTTCCTGCGCCTCCTCCTTGCGAATGCATTTTGAGGACCACGGATTATTCGGCGCTTTTGAAGGTTTTGAAGAAGGATTGGATCTTGGAAAGATGAATAACTTTCTTCAAACACTCTCAGTAACCGTGATGTGACACTTCCGGTTTCCCTCGCGTGCAGTGGTTCCTCCAGGTCCTGCAGCCCCTGCCCTACAGGAGGTGGTGTCCTCCTGGGACACTTCCTTTACACCCCGTGCTTGCTCCCAAATTTGTGTCTCCAGCTTAGACCTTTGTTCTGAGTTGTTGTTTTTTAAATATATTTTATTGATTTTTTTACAGAGAGGAAGGGAGAAAGATAGTTAGAAACATTGATGAGAGAGGAACATCGATCAGCTGCCTCCTGCACACCCCCCACCGGGGATGTGCCTGCAACCAGGGTACATGCGGGTACATGCCCTTGACCGGAATCGAACCCGGGACCCTTCAGTCCGCAGGCCCACGCTCTATCCACTGAGCCAAAGAGGTCAGGGCTGTTGTTACTTTTATTCTGTCCACTGACTGTAGCCCCGCATGGATAGATAGCTCATGTATTTCCATCTCAGCGAGTTCAAAACTGACGAATTTCCACCTCACCTCACCCCACGCCTGCTCTTCCTCCAGAGACCCCACCTCAGTTACTTGTGCCACCGTCCACCCTGCCCTGCACCCAAAAGCCTGGACGTCATCCTTGGCATCTTCCTTTTCTCAGCTCCCGAACATCTGATCAGTAGTCAAGCTCTGTGGAGCCCACATCCATGGCTGTAAATTCTCACCCTGGACTCTTGCCATCCTTGTCCTTGCACCATCATCAAACCACCCGCCTGGTCTCTGACCTAGTTGTCTAAGCAGGCCTTCCCCAACCCAGGCCGCCTGGAATGGGCTCTTTCCCCACACACACACCCCCATCTTTCCTTTGGAATTGCTCATACTCATGCCTGCCCATCCTTCAGATCTCAGCTTAAATATTTCTTCTGAAGTCTAGGGAGAGTCTAGTGCTTGCACATGTGACCTTTTATGGAACCTTCACAGCCATCCTATGAAGTTGTAGATTTTTCCCATTTTACAGAAGAGTACAGACTACTTCGGTCGTTAGTTAAATTGTGCAAAATCATACAGTAAGTCACCGAGTTAAATTTGCTCAAGCCTGTCTTTTTAACTTTTATCTCCTTCAGTATCTTTCACTGTCATTCAATATTTTTTGCTCAGATGGGTGCATCATATTTTGTATAATGGTATTGTTCCTTATTTAACAAGCTTCTTATTGATAGCTATTTAGATGGGGGGGGGGTTGGGGGGGGGGGGGGGTGGGGGGGGGAGCGTTGCTGTGATGAACAAGAGTATGATAAGTGGACAACATTGAAGCTAAATTTGTATTGAACTTTTTTTATTATTTTCTTAGACTAAATTCCCAGAAGTAGAATGGGGGTAAAGGTTATGACTTTTCAACAGGTTACAATTTATGAAATAAATAAAAGCAGTTGCTCTTTTAAAATTGTGACAAGAGATTTGTAAATGACAAGATTAATGATGGTACCTACTTCATATTCTGAGGGTCGGAGTTAATATGTGTCCAATCATTTAGCACCGTGTCGTTTACATTTTTAAGAGCTCAATGAATGTTTGTACTTATTCATTTAGTTCAAAATAGGATTCTTACTATGTAGTGTGGTTCCTTAGCCTGTTTGGGAAATATTGTGAGACTCTGATGAACTCTGAAACCTCTTCCCAGAGGTTCTCCTCCTCCTCTCCCCCCAACAAAATGGTACATGTCATTTGTCATAAGTCTTCAACTACCTAAACTCAGCATATGGACCCAAATTAAGAACTGCTAATAGATTCCACTTTACAAGTGCTTTTTCCCCTTTATAAGTTGCAAGTATTTTCCTATGCTCTGAAATATTCTTCTAAAGCAGGATTTTTTCATGGCTATATAATATCCGTAATTATTTAACCCCACCTGCCATTGTTGACATTTAGGTTAACATCCTTATACCTGAATCTTTGTTTTGCAGATTTCCTTAGACTAAATTTCTAAATGCAGGCTCACTACTCCAAGAATGTGAATAGAAGGCTTTTGGTTCTTATTACCACATTGACTTATGAAGAGTTCTACAGTCCATACTCCCACCATTAATGATGTCTTAGTTTTCTCTCGTCATCTTGACCACCAAGTATTATTATATTAAGTTCAATGTTTTTGTGCCTTTCTTAAACTCGTTCTTTACCATTGGTGTTTTCGTGTCATTGTTAAGCCCATGGTTGACTATAATTTAGAAATGTGGTCTTACAGCACTCGATACTAACCGAGCTATCTGCATCCTAGCTTTGTGTCAAAGGCTTGTGATGTGTTGTGATAGCTGGGTTGAAGAAGTGCAATATTAAAACAAAAGCCGTGAGTCTTTAAGCCCAGTGTGTAAAGACACACTCTGAGTTATAACTCAGTGGCACAACTGGAAAAAGAAAAAGAAAAGAAGTAGAAATACATCTTAAAGCAGTGGTCCTCAGCTTTTTCACATGAGAATCGCTGGTGCGGGGGAGCTTTTAAGTATTCTTATGCCGACCCTCCCCAGACCAATTAATCCGTTTAAGTTCCTCAAGTGATTCTAGTGTGGGACAAAAGTTGAGAACCCCTGCTTCAGAATTTAGGGTGTTTTGTTTTCTTCATAAAACGAAGAATTCGCAAAATGATTTGAAAAGACGAGGTTAATTAACGCCTTAACCTAAATTCAGATTTACATTTATATAAGAATGAGTTTGTTTTGTTTCACATGGAACTTTTGCTTCATTTGTCTCAGGTGGTTTCAGAGACTATGGATATACTCTTCAGAATCAGAGGAGGCCTTGATCTAGCTTTTCAGCTAGCTACTGCTAATGGTAGGTCAGCCAAAAAGCTCTCCTTTTTTACTATAAAAATTGCTGATGAACTAGGCTGAGATTCTCACCAGTTTGCACATGAAACTGTGCGGGAGGTAGGATGAATTGTCCAAGACCATAGAGTTAGTAAGTTATATCACTTAGATTTAAACTTAGACAATGTGTTCCAACGCCACCACCAATGGGACTCCTCTGTACAAATGCAAAAAAGATGAGCTTGTAGATGAATCTTAACACTGTTGTGCTGAGTGAAAGAAGCCAGACACAAAAGGCCACATAATACATGATTCCACTTACTACATGAAGTGTCCAAAATAGACAAACCTATAAAGACAAGAAATAGATTATCGATTGCCGACAGTTAAGTCTAGGGGGAATGAGGAACGACTGCTGGTAGGTACAGAGTTTCTTCTGGGGTCATCAAAATCTTGTGGAATTAGAGAGTGATGGTTGTAAAACCTTGTGAAGACACTAAAAGCAACTGAATTGTACTCATTCTAGAAACGAATCTTATGGCCAGTGAATTTTATCTCAGTTTTCCCGAAAGAAAGGCAAAAATTTTGTATAATTATTGAATCTGGGGAATGAACATTTGGGAGCCAATTTGACTTCTATTTTTGTGTGTTTGGAAGCATTCGGGTTGAAAAGTGTAAAACTTTTCTCATCAACTTCTACTTATATTCTTTTAATTTAGACATTTTTATCCAGAAGGCACTAAAACATGTGTTGAGTGACCTGTCCGCCAAGCTGTCTTCAAATGCACTGGTGTTCAGAATCCGCCACAGCTCGGTGTATGTGTGGCCTAACAGTGACATGAACACCATCCCAGGAGAACTGACAGATAGTTCTGCTTGTAAGACCTTACTGCGCTTCATCCAGTGAGTATGTTTGAAGATTGCTAGAAATCTTTCCAAAATGTCATTTCATACGCTAAACATCTTTGTGTGTGAAAAATTTAGATTTGAACAGGAAGAAGATACAAAACGAAAATTCATGAGGAAGAAAGACAAAAAGTTATCAGATGTGGTAAGCAAATCACCTGCCTTCCTAGTGGTAAAAATTTTAAATCCTTGAATTTGGAGTTGAGATCTTAGAAATTATTTACTCCATTTCTCTTAGTTATTATAGATCAGAATCCTGAGGTCCAGAAAGATAAATGACATGCCAGACATTATATCTCTTTTTTCATATCTAAACTTTGGTTCCATTATAATACTTACTTTATGCTTTTTTTGAATGTTTTCTTTATTCCCACAAAAATAAAATTGCTTGAGTACATTTACAAATTATTTAAAAATAAATAAAAAGGAATCATTCTGAAACATGACAGTAACACATTATTACCATGTGAGATACTAAATGATTTACTTTTCTTCATACTGTTCTTAGTTCTGTTGATTTTTGAACCAATACTATTGAGTACCTGCCTGCCGTGTGCTACAAACTTTGCCCGATATTGGAGATTTAAAAAAATGAAGCTACTTCTGCAAGGCAGGAAGTTGTGTGAAATTAATTTGACTGTAGTGTTTTTCCAGGCCAGTAGAGGAAAATAGGTGGACGTGAGGTTGGAGAGGTGGGCCAGGCACACTTCAGGAGAAGATAAACTAAACTAGTAGCTAAGGTAATAGAGAGGAGGGAAAGAATACACGAGATATTTGGGGGATAAAATGGATTACACTTGGAAACTAATTGGATATGGGATGACCATTTCTTGCTTGAGTAAAAATGGAAGTTGAGGTTGGTTTGGGCCATGTTTCAGATACCAGTGAGGTGTCCACAGGAGCTGTTGGTGTTACCAATCTGAAGTGTACACAAAAATCGCGGGCTGTAAATAATTCTTTGAGAAATACCAATATTTGGAGCTGGACATTTTGAGGAATACTGGTCAGCTATTTTGTAGTCTGTTTTACTCTTCCTCCTGATTAAATGCGGGTTGTGCATTGTTGGTGGGAATACCACAGAGGTAATATTGTGCTCTTCTCAGCACATCAGATTGAAGAGGCATGTGCTACCCTAGTGTTGGTGATAGCTTCGATCACTTAATGTGGCATCTGCCACCTTTCTCCTCTGTGAGGGCACTATCTTTTCCCTTATAATTAGGAAGTAACTCGTGAGAAGACAATTCAAGACTATGTATAGATCCTCTTCCTCGTCAAATGCTACCTCTTCTAGCATCAACTGATCATTTTTGCCAGAATCCAACATTAAGCTGATAGTTGCCAAGTGGCGCTTTTCCTGTCATTTCGTATCTAAATTAATGTCATATTTATTAGATGACAGGAAGACTGTGAGGAGAGCTTTTCCTTATTTATGTGTTATCTGCACAGAAGCATGGATTCTTATTCAATGCAATGAGCTGTAATCTGTTACTGTTGTTAGTTATTTGAGGCTCGCAGTTTCCAAGATTTGGCCAATAGAAACTTCTTCAAGCGAGCGCCAGAGGTTTTTGACACTATTTTTCTGAACTTCCTACCTTCTTCCACAAGCTGTTCAGGCATATCATGTACTCTCCCTGATCCAACTCAGGAGTCAGCCATTCCTCCAAGGAGCGTACACATGTACAAATCCATACTATTCATATACACACATACACTCATATTTATCTATGTAAATCATGTCTATACCTCCAGTTCTGTTTCAGCCTCACACAGTTCCTAACCTTTTCCCTGTGAGAAACCTGGCTTCCAGTAGCCTCAGTATTTTTCTACATTTGTTCAATATACAAAAAGTATTTTCAGAATTTGTCTTCCATGCCAGTCAGAACCAATCCTGGTAGTAGAATTCAATATTTGTTTATAGTTCTCCATGTCTTTAGAACAGGGGGGTCTATCGTTTAAAAGTTCCTTCAGTGTGTGCTTATTGTATCTTATTCATTGTTGTTTTTTTAATTAAGTCTAGAGAATAATATAATGAACCCTGGTGAACCTACACCAGCTCTCATGTCTATCAATCCACAGTCAGTCTGATTTCATCTTCACTCCCCACTCACTGGCCACATCTCCTTAGGTTATTTTGAAGCAGAGAATAATTTTTGTTAAGATTTGAGCATTTAAACAACTTACTATAGCTTTGGTCCTTAAAAAGTCCTTTTACTTAATCCTTTTATACTTAGTGTTCACTGTGCTATAAGTTGACTATTACTGTTTATCTTTTTAGCATCAAGTAGTAAACATAGATCTCATGCTGGAAATGTCAACCTCTCAGACCGCCGTAACCCCCGTCATTGAAAGAGAAATCGGAGGACACCACTATGTGACCATGGCGTTGCCGGTTGATGCAGTTTTATCTGTTGCCCCCGAAGAAGCATGGGGAAAGTAGGTATTCCGGAGTACTACTGCCCCTTGTCAGTGAGGACCCTGCCTCAAAGTAACAGAGGCCACTTTTAAGTATCATATAGGCATTTCCAGGGTGGTGGTTGTAGTTTTTAGTATGATTACTCCCTGTTTTTTAGTAAGAGTCATCTAGTAATTAAATATTTGGAGGAAGTAGGGTTGTCTGCAACACCTAGTATGAGGTTTTCTCTTTATCTACACAGAAGAAACAGTTTATTTAACCTTTTATAAGTTAGACTTCCTTTAATTAACCTGGCCCAATCAAGTGAGGTTTTTTTGTACTTCCTTAGGGCTATATTAACTCCACACTCATTTATCAATTATCAGAGCCACTATAACTTCTGTATATTTTCCCCCACAGAGTTCGTAAACTTCTAGTGGATGCAATTCATAATCAGCTAACTGATATGGAAAAGTGCATTTTGAAATATATGAAAGGAACATCCATTGTGGTCCCTGAACCACTGCACTTTTTATTACCGGGGAGAAAAAATCTTGTAACAATTTCATATCCATCGGGAATTCCAGATGGGCAGCTGCAGGCCTACAGAGAGGTGAGACCAAGCCATGTACTATTAGAAAAAATAAGGCTGTCATCCATTTCATAGTTAATTACATGTTTCTAATAAACGGAAATTGTTTTACGATTTAATTTTAAAGTGTGGAGCCCGACTATTAGTTTTACATATTATTTCATTTCTGTTCTCATGGAACTTGGTTTTTAAGTATTTTGAGTTAAAAAAATACTTAAAACCCATATGTACTGGAAACCCATATGTAACATTTGAATTTTATATGCTCAGTGTGGTTCATATGTTCTATGAAATTATTAGTTTTCCATAATGAAATGAAGAATTGAAATGTGCTTCCATCCCTAGAGAAACTGATGAGTATTAATAAATTCCTTTCCCTTTCATTCCTTCCAGGTTTGTGGGTGAGAGATTACAGTTAGGGGAGGGCAGTTAGGATTCATGCTAATCCTAGTTAGGAGTTACAGTAATACCCCACCCCTCCTCCACGCCCCAGGCTTCTTTGGGTTTTAGTAGAGGCCTTTGAAGAAAACCTGATCAGCACTCAAAGCAATGAGGTTACTGACAAAATGACTGGTTTTAGAGTACGTATTTTTTATGTGTGGCCTTGTCCGGCCGCATCAGAGTCTCTTCCTGAGATGCCCTCTCATGCCCCTGAGAAGAGGTGTGATAGTGGAACCCTCTGTGCACCTCTGGCCTAGATGAAGTGCTATGTAGAGGCAACAGCCCCATGAGCTAATGATCCTTTTCAAACTGCTAGAGTACACAGAAGACATGGAAAAGAAAACGTCCAGCTTTTCAAAGTAACTATTACATATTGTTATACTATGGGGAATGTTTTTGCATTTTGAACATGTGTATTTTATTTCAATGCCATATTGGTTGGTTTCATGCCACCAATTTCTACTCTGAAATTTAATCACTACTCCTTCTACTTGTTAAGTGCTCTAAGCATGATTTTTTTAAATAATTATATCACTGTTAGTTATAATTTACTCACTTACAAGGCTGTTTCAAAACCATTCTTTATCCTCGATGCATTTTAACAGACTGTGTTATAACAGATAGTTCATTCTCAATGATCTCAGTTCTCTCACACTTAACAAATTATTTTCATTTTTCTGTGTTCCCTTTCAGATTCTACCTACATACATAGATAAGCAAAAATAAATCTTGTTTGGTTTTAGTTTATTCTCACACTCTTTGACCTTAGTGAATTAAATCATGAGTGTATTTGATAACTTTCACAACTGATATATAATTTTCTGTTTTATATCTTTAGTTTGAGTTTATTGACTAGAAATCTAAATCATTTAACTGTTTTTCTTTTTTCCCTATTGATTCTAACTTCCTTTAGGAGTTGCACGATCTCTTCAATCTGCCTCATGACAGACCTTACTTCAAAAGGTCTAATGCTTATCACTTTCCAGATGAACCATACCAAGATGGTTACATTAGAAATCCACACGCTTATCTCAGTCCACCCAACATGGAGACTGGTATGGTGAGTTTAATAATTACTTATGGGAGTCAGCTGATCACCAACGTCATTCACTTGTTGTTTGTACCCAGTGGAATTTGTAAGGATTGATTCACAATGTATGTCAACCCTAAAACATAATTTATCATCCATTTCTTTTAATAATCAAGTGCTTAAGATAGCAGTAATTCAGAGTGGTCTAAAAGGGTTAGGAATAGCTAGCATGGACCACATTTCTCTTACTAAAATTCCATTCCCCAACTTCATTATAGGCTTGTCCAATTTTACTTTTGTTCTGAACCTGAGAAATCATGCTAATTATGGGCATATTCTACCCAAACCACGCTGTAGCAGAAGTCTAATAAGACCCTACAGTGTTTTTCTGTGCAGCATGTACCTGCTTGCAAAGGGTAGATCTTTACTGAAGGTTGTGAAATAAGGAGCGAGGCGAAGGGTCCCTTTAAGGATGCACGTAGGCCAATTAGAAAAGATCTTGTGACATCCAAGATAGGAATGTTTGCACAGCTGGCCTCTTCGCACAGAGCCGCTGCCTCAGTCTCGGGCCTACATGGACTCCGTGGTGGCCTCTCTGCTGCTCTGTCTGCTGTTGATCCCGACTGGCCTGTGCCTTCTCTCTACTCTGTCTTTTCTCAGCCTCAGAGCTTCTGTTTCCTCATTGTTGCTGCTTATGTGTAGCTTTTCCTACTTCCTTGTCGCTGCTCACTGTATGCATGTTTCAGCTTCATTCCCTGCTTCTTTCTGCCCGATTCACTCTGTGCCTTCAGATTCCCACGGCAGGAACTCGATTGGCCATCTTGTTGTGGCATTTATTCATACCTGCTGAGTCTCCAGGTGCTCTGTAAGGAAATCTCAAGAAGTAAAAATGAATATATGACCCTGTGTCTACCCTCGAGGAGTTAGGGGCCCGCTGCTAGGCCTGGCCAGCAGAGTGCGCTTGGGACAGCAGTTCCACCTGCTTCCCATAGAGACTCGGCTGGGCACTCACACTTACTTACATACAAATGCATCTTTAGTCAGCATGTCAGTGATCTAAGTGATTTCATTTATTGTGCTTATATAGGAAATCTTGAGACACTTATTTCTAGTTAAAAGTCTTACTCTCTGAGGCATAGAATCACAGAAGAGGAAATACAAAACTTAGAGTCTCAAACAGTACCTCTTGATGGTTTTCTAGTAGATTACTATATAATGTTTCCTCTCTCTCAGGCTCTATTCTTTTCATGTAGGTTTATGTGGTCCAGGGCCTGTACGGTTATCATCATTACATGCAGGATCGGATGGATGACAACGGCTGGGGCTGTGCCTATCGATCGCTGCAGACCATCTGCTCTTGGTTCAAACACCAGGGATACACAGAGAGGGCCATTCCGACACACAGAGAAATCCAGCAGGTACAGAACACGCCCTTTCCATGATGAGCACGTGCACATTTCAGTAGCCCTTAATGTACCATTAATTATTATTAACTCGGAGTACAGACTGATTTATGTTTTGAAGGAAAAACTTGCCCTGCTAATCAGGGAAAAGGCCCCACATGTAATTTTAATAGCTGTCTTGTATATGGATTTTTTTGTATTTTCAATACAAAAAGGCTCTAGTTGATGCCGGGGACAAACCAGCAACATTTGTGGGATCACGGCAGTGGATTGGGTCTATCGAGGTACAGCTGGTCCTGAACCAACTGATTGGCGTAACTTCAAAAATACTGTTTGTCAGGTAAGGACACGCTAAGAAAGTAAAGACATCATTTCAAAGCGAGATTGTCATTTTATTAAAATAACAGAAAAATTGTATCTTTCCCCCACATTTTTTTTTCACTCCTTTCTCTTCCTCCACATTGTCTGATTACTCTGTAAATCTCTTTTTTAACCCTACATTTTTTTTTATTTAATCTTCAGAAGACTTTGGAGTTTATGATCTACAATACATACTGTTGAGGTCTAATTTTAGCCAAGAAGAGAAAAACTTGGATATATGTCAACTTCGAGTGTAGTTAAAGAAAATCAAGTTTTTTTTATGCTCAAGTTTTTAAAAAGTCTTGAAAGGAGAAAAGCAAATGTTGATCTACGACTGACCTTCTTGTTTACCTCTTGCACTTTTTCTTCTTAAGATGTTAATAAACTAATTATGTGTCTGAATAAAATATTCATTTCACTTTTTCCTATAGCTTAGTCATAATTCCAACATTAAGCTATGAGCAAATCTAAATTAAATACTATTAATTTCTTTTTTTTAAATGTATTTTTATTGATTTCAGAGAGGAAGGGAGAGGTAGAGGTAGAAGCATCAATGACAAAAGGGAATCATTGATTGGCTGTCTCTTGCACGCCCCCTACTGGAGGATCAAGCCCACAACCCGGGCATGTGCCCTCGACTGGAATCAAACCTGGGACCCTTCGCAGGCCGACACTCTATCACTGAGCCAGACCAGCCAGGGCAATACTATTGATTTCTGGGACAATAACTAACTTCCTCCTTTTGTGAGCTTATGTTTTAAATACATTTTCTATTATGACAACCTTATAAATATAGTAACTTTATCCTTATTTAGCCACGCACTTCAATACATCTGGTTTCACTATTGCAGTCTGGACTGGCTGTGGAAATCAGTGCCAACGGCCCTAATCGGTTTGGTTCAGTGGATAGAGCATCGGCCTGCAGACTCAAGGGTCCCAGGTTCAATTCCAGTCAAGGACATGTACGTTGGTTGCAGGCACATCCCCATTCGGGAGGTGTGCAGGAGGCAACTGATCGATGTTTCTCTCTCATCGATGTTTCTAACTCTCTATCCCTCTCTCTTCCTCTCTGTAAAAAATCAATAAAATATATTTTTAAAAAAGAAATTAGTGCCAACAAATAAATGATAGGTTAAGTAGTGAAGTATATGCTGATTAAAAGTTAAAAAGTGGAAGTTTTGGCGCATTAAAACATTATGCGTTCCTTACTAGGCAAGAGCGAAGGTTTACCACCACCTGACACCTCAATTCTAAAAAAAAGTCTCCATCTTTGTCTTTGTCTTCTCAACAGTACAAATTGTATAGAACATTGTAACATTCCCTAAAAACATTATGTTGTTGCCCTGGCCTGGTAGCTCAGTTGGTTAAGCGTTGTCACGGTACACTAAGGTTCTGGGTTCCATCCCTGGTCAGGGCACATATAAGAAACAACTGATGAATGTATAAATAAGTGGAACAACAAATTGATGTTTCTCTCTCTCTCCATTCCCCTCTAAAATCAATTCAAAAAATAAAAATAACATGTTGTGCTTGAAAACATTTTTTACCTTTCACACTGGCTTCACAGACATTGTCTGTTTTAGTCTTGGACTCTCCTGTCCTGTAGACAGGGCAGGTATTATGGTCCCAATTTACAGATGAGGAAATACAGACTCAGAGTCTGACAGCATGAAGACAAGAACCCGGGACTTAAAACTGGTTCTTCTGAAATAAATCCACCCATAAGAGCCCCCTGGGCATCCAGGTGACCGCTTTCAATCTCATGTTAAAAACCCAGACCTCCTTTGTGCAGTTCCAGGTAGTCTTGCTTCTTTCCTGGCGTATCTAATGGCCTTAAATGTTTAGAAAGGTTATATTGCTTTAACTTGCTCAGTCAGTTCCTTACCACTTAACTGCATTTAAAATCATATAGGTGGGTTTTGTGTGTGTGTGTGTGTGTTTTAATGCTTTTATTGATTTCAGAGAGAGAGAAAGGGAAAGGGATAGACATAGAAACATCCATCAGAGAGAACTATCAGTTGGCTGCCTCCTGCACGCCCCTTACTGGGGATCAAGCCCTGACCGGGAATCGAACTGGTGACCTCTAGATTCATGGGTTGACGCTCAACCAGTGAGCCACACAGGTTGGGCTGTATGGTTTTGTGTGTGTTTTTAACCAAGAAAGAAAGCAAAAATGGTCCCATTGATATGACCTTAGTGTCAGAAATGATTCATCTAATAGAAAACGGTTTCTTTCCAGCCAGGGTTCGGAAATGGCCTCTCAGGGACGGGCACTGGCCAATCACTTCCAGAGTGAAGGAACTCCAGTGATGATCGGTATGAGCTTGGGACACCCTGGGCTCTTAGGTGGCGTGGAGAGAAAGTAAAACTTACCATTAGTATAAATGTTTAATGTCACCTAAAATCAGTCATTTTAAACCATTTTAAAATTAGCTTTTACACCATACACACTGACCTCCAAATTCCTTTGGAAATTTTTAAATGTGCAAGGCAGAAGGAACGTTATAGAAAAGGTTATAATAACCAGACGAAAATGCTAAGAAGGTAAATGATAAAGGGGTGCCTATAGGTAAAGAGTTGAAAGCAGCCTGAAAAAGAGGCATGAGCATCGTAAGTCACGGGTCTGTCACTAACGTGGCGGGCGGTGTTCCATGACTGCAGATTGCTTAATCCCTGGGCTTTATGCGTAAAATAAGAGGATTGGATTCGTTGATCTAAAGATTCATATTCTGTGAGGAACAAGACGGCTCCTGTGATGGCAGAGGAAAGCTCAAACGGGTGTGTGTAGGAAATGGAGGAAGGCAGATGTCAGCAGAATATCCGAAAGAACTGAATGAGTGGATGGCTGTCTCCTTGGAGACAGCACGCCCCCTGCTGAGTGGACCACAGCAGTGACTGTGTCTCTGGTGGGAGGAGTTTAGACCCTCTGTGGCCCTTTCTAAATCCAGTTCAGGTAATTCTATGGATATGGCAGTGGAATATAAACCTGATTATAGATATGATTGAATCTTTAATTTTATCTTTTCAGAGTATATTTGACATTGTGGTCTTTTACAATGTAGACTAGAAAATTTTAATGCTGTTAGATAATAGGCAAAGCAATCTTTTAAAATTGAAAAGGAAGTTGAGGTTAATGTATGCTTCTCCTATTTCATATTTCCTTTTCTCTAGGGGGAGGCGTTTTGGCCCACACGATACTGGGAGTTGCATGGAATGAGATTACAGGGCAGATAAAATTTCTAATTTTAGATCCACATTATACAGGCGCTGAAGATCTGCAGGTTATTTTGGAAAAGGTAAGTATCTATTTAACACAAATTTAGATACAAGACAAAGAAACCAGAGCAAAGGATAGTGAAGTGGCTGTTAACAGAAGGACGGATAATAAACCGAGGGCAGCGACCCTCATTATAAGGAGGCATCTAGGGCTGTGGTGAGTGACTGTCTTGATAGGGAGGATAAGAGGGAAATAAAGTAAATTGCAAAAGAAACAATTTGGGTTAGGGTTATAAAAATTTTCTCAGCTATTGAACTTAATAATGGAGCACAAAGCTGATAAATGTATTCCTTTGAAGATTTTTTTCAGCTTTGCACAAACAAATGTATTGAGGTCTATCAACGCCTTGAAGTAGGAGAGTAAAGTATAAAACCTTTATAATTTTAGAATTAACCAACAATAGCTAAGCAGTACGCTGGACATTGTGGAGGCTTGACTACTTTTAAGCTACTTACATATAACTTAATCTCATGCTATAAAGGATTTGAACAGAAAAATAGGTTTGCTCTATTAGTGCATGTCAGCAACCATGAAGCCAAGGCCTGGCCATCAGTACAGAACTATGAACTCTTACTTGACTCAAGAACCTAAGGCACCAAGTCCGCTCGGCTGCTATACAGAATACCACAGACTGGGGACTTATAAACATCTGACATTTATTTCTCTCAGTGCTGGGGGCTGGGGTGTCCAAGATCAAGGTGCCAGCAGATAAGCTGTCTGGTGAGGCCCACTTCCTAGTTCATAGGCAGCTGTCTTTATCACTGTGTTCACATGGTAGGAGAGATGAGGGACCTTTCTGGGGCCTCTTTAAAAAGGGCACTAATCCCATTTGAGAGGGCTCCACCCCATAATCTAGTCACCTTCCAGAGGCCTCACCTCCAACTATCACATTGGGATTAGGTTTCAACCTATGAACTTTGAAGGGACACAAACCATCAGTCTGTAGCAGGGACACGGGGAAGCTCTGCCTCTGCCGCTTTACCCGCTTTGGAGCTTTCCTGCTTGACATTCCCGGCCAGTCCCCTCAGAGGAAAGCACGGCTCCCCTCTCCACTCCCATCAGTCTCTGGTTTTGACACCCTCTCTACCCAGGTCCTTAAAAAAAAAAAAAAAAAAAAATTGAGCCTGGTTACCTGGAGAAGGCCTACATGTGTGAAGGATCACAAAAAGATTAGAGATAGTATAAGCCTTCTTTCCTATTTATCATTAACACAGATTTTAGGACATTAACATTATTAGAGGAAGTTTTGCTGAAAATAATAGATAAAAATAAGCTTATTATGTATGGCAACATGTCTCAAACCAAATTTTAAAAAATATATTCTTATTGATTTCAGAGAGGAAAGGAGGAGAGAGAGAAACATCAATGATGAGAGATTCATTGATCGGCTGCCTCCTGCACGCTCCCTACTAGGGGGGATCGAGCCAACCAAGACATGTGCCCTGACCAGGAATCGAACCATAGCCTCCTGGTTCATAGGTTGATGCTCAACCACTGAGCCACAACAACCAGGCCACAAACCAAATTTAACAGTTGGGAGCAGGGGCAGTAGGACTGACTGGGGGAGAGGTTTTTTTTAATGTTTTACTTTCGTGTCCTTTGAATTTTTATAATGTGTATCTTATTTTTTGCAATCAGAAAAAGAAAAAGAAAAACTAAAGAGTATCTCTAACTCACCTCTCTGGTCTCCACACTAAAGGATCAGCTAACACTCTCTTTTGGAGGAGGTCTGAACTTTGACTTTAGGCCCCTGACAGCACCCTGCAGCCTCCGAGTTAGGTAGGGTAAGGAGTAAGACCAGGCCTGTCCCGCACTCAGTGGTATTTTAAGAGTCCTGGCTAGCCTCCTACAAGTATTGAGCAAACAAAGCATTTCATTTCATGATCATACAACACAGACAAGTTGTTAGCTGGGTCTTTAAGGAAATAAATCAATGGCCCTAGAAGAAATTTGATAAACTTTTATATTCACAATGAGATTTTGTTTGAAAGTAATTTTCTCTGCTGGAGAAAAGGATGAATGCTGACATGAAGAATGCAAAGTGGAAATGATTACAGCCTGAGGAAAATGAATGCCACTCAAAGGGCAAGCTGAGAGTTCTCACGACCGTATTTCCTCATAGCTACGACGCCTCTGCATGGCACACAGCAGTCTTTTATGTGCTGCTAAGGAAAACAGGCTGCCACTTAAACTGTCCCATGCCCCTACCTGCCAGGATGGCAAAACTATACATCTTAGCATCAATAAAATGTGGAATTTGGAGCAATAGTTAACCACAGGAAGCTTTTCTTAATGATTTCTGATTAAATATAGTATAATTAAACTTGTTTATTCTATCTGAAAGGGACCCAAATAAATTACTTTTCTATACTTTATACAAATTTGGATCTTTGAATTATATAGGTACTTAAAGAGTCTTATTCCAAGTTCCTAATGGAGCAGGATGGTAAAATTTTACAATTTTGGTCCTATAGTCCTGTAACTTTGTAAAACATTTTCCTTTCCCTTTTCCCAATCTAGGGCTGGTGTGGATGGAAGGGTCCAGACTTCTGGAATAAGGATGCGTACTATAACTTATGTCTTCCTCAGCGACCAAACATTATTTAAAACGAGGCCCGGTGCGTGAAATTCGTGCACTCAGGGGCGGCGGGGGGGGGTCCCCTCAGCCCGGCCTATGCCCTCTTGCCATCTGGGAGCCCCATGATTGATTGCCCCAAAGAGGTAGACCTCGCACACCCGGCCAGGGCTCCAAGATGGATCGCCCCCACAGAGGGAGGCCCCGCTCACCCGCTGCAGCCCACCGGTCAGTGGCCTGGTGCTCCTTCTGTGGGTGACCGATCACATTGCACCTGCCTTGGCTGGCCTGGCGCCAGTGGGTGTCATATTGTGGTCGTCTGGACGGTCGTTCTGCTGTTCAGCCATTCGGTCGATTTGCATATTACACTTTATTATTATAGATATCTTGGACTCAAAGACTGTGGTAAAGTTTATTATAAATTTGTTAATAAAAAATAAGTTTAATTTTCAAATAAATCCTGGGTGTAGTTTGATGGCTTAACCTTGATTTTTTTCCAAAGGTTATAAATACTACACAAAAAAAAGAATTTAGTCTTTAGACATTCCTTTAAAAACTTAATAGACAAAGTGTGCGCAACCACAATATTGTAGGCATGTAAATACATGCATTCATAAATGTTATCTTCACTTAGAAGAAAGTTCTCCTCCTTCTTAGAAGGAGTTTAGACACCTGATGAGCGAAAGCCATGGCTTGCAGCTCAGCAGCAGATCTGCCCGAAGTGAAGGCCTCTTCACACCTCCTCATAACCAAGTCATCTGTTGTTAAAAAACATGTTAACATTAAAATCTTTTTTAACAGGTTATCTCCCCAACCTTCTACTATGCAGGACAATCTTTGGTTTCTAGAATCTACTAGTAGTTACTATAACCGATCTTAAAATGTGTTAATGAGAATGAAAAAGACATACTAGAATAAGACTGCCAATATTTAAATGAAACAATAATTTCTGTGCCAAATAAGAGATCCTTGAGGAAGGAAGAAAGAAGAAACTGAGTTACTTACCAACACTTCCTTTTCCCACTTGTATTTTCTGCACTCCCGAAACTTCGTTTCTGTCTGAGCACCGGAACACAGTGATCTCTATTGGATCGTTCACTTGGGTTTTTTGTCTGCATACGTTTAATTGCCGTAAGGAACTTGGCACATTCTGGAAATCCACATGACCAAGCAAGATCTTCAGCTGTTTGCCCATTCTTATTACATAAACTGAATTTAAAATAAAAATCGAGTTAAATAAAGCTTAACAATTGTTTAGCCTTTTTAAAATATATATCTTTCTAACAAAGGAGCTTTGGGCTCATACAAATGTTGGCTGCAGAATAGAAGAGGTAGAGGAAGCACAGACAAATCCCATTTGTGTTCACTATGGTGTCCTCAGTGGCTAGCAGAGTCCAGCACAGAGTAGGCATTTCAATTTTGAATGAATGAAAGAGTATTCTGTGCTCAATACAGTGGATAAGTACCCAAGAAAGTCAATGAGAACTTGTATAGAATGGATTTCCCTAAACCAAAACTAAGGTGTAATTCTGCCCCCTCTGATTGCTCAGGATCCACTCTTCACTTCTTCAAAGTGAATAGTATCAGATATTAACAGCCTCAGTTAACATTTAAATGATAACACTAAATTATCCATTAGACAGGCATCCTTCTTAAAAGCACATGTAATTAAGCTTCAGAAGTCTGATTCATTTAATCCAATTTAAAGCCACCAAGTTTAACACTTACTCAATTTGGGCATCACTGGCTACAAGCAGGCTAAGGCATTCCAGGCTTCCAACTTTCGCTGCCTTGTGGAGCGGAGCTTCTCCAAACACATCCTTAAATATAAGACAACACATTTTAGTCTCTCTCCAAAATACTTTCTTTGGAAGTTGGTGGGTGAAGTCTATTGTTTGAGGAACCTATGTGAGGAACCTAGTTGGACCTGCATTGTACTGGGCTGAATTTTTTAATTCAAGTATTTTTTTAAATAAGGTTCTCTTGGTATGTTATTTTTTTAAATATATTTTATTGATTTTTTACAGAGAGGAAGGGAGAGGGATAGAGAGTTAGAAACATCGATGAGAGAGAAACCGATCAGCTGCCTCCTGCACTCTCCCACTGGGGATGTGCCCGCAACCAAGGTACATGCCTTTGACCGGAATCGAACCTGGGACCCTTGAGTCTGCAGGCCAATGCTCTATCCACTGAGCCAAACCAGTTAGGGCTCTCTTGGTATGTTATTAAATACAAAGCTTTCATTAGTAAAAACGTGTGCAGTCACAGCACATACACTAAAATTTAAGTGAATAAAGTAAGAGTTATATGGAAGTAAAAAAAAAGGCAATTTAAAATTCACCATACTTTAATATTCAATGGAAGATGTAGACTACCATAAAAAAAGTTATGTACAGCCCCAGCTAGTTGGCTCAGTAGCCGGCAGATTGAAAGGTCCCAGGTCCGGATTCCAAACCCACCTGCGGGAGGCAACCAATGGGTGTGTCTCTCACATCATTGTTTCTGTCTCCCCCTCTTCAACTCTCTAAAACTCAAAGGAAAAAAATATCCCCAGGTGAGGAATAACAAAGAAAAATTGTGTAGAAAATTAAAACAGTTGTGAGCATGCCTCACAAATATTTCAGTTGCTATACTGACACTTTTCATTTGATAACACAGTAAGTGTTCCTTTTGAAACTGCAGACCTGTATATGCTGTCCAATGCAGTAGCCAGTAGGCATTTATATGGCTAATGAGCACTTGTAATGTGGCTTGCCTGAATTGAAATGCGCTGTAAATATGAAATGCACACCAGATTGAAAAGACATACGAAAAGAAAATGTAAACTATCAGTAATGTTTTATACTGAGATGACAATATTGTGGATAAATGGGTTTAAATTACAAAACTAATTTCATGTTTTGTTTTACTTCATTATTGTGGCTACTACAAAAATTTTAATTACATTCGTTTCTCGTGTATTTAACTATTGGACATCGCTACGTAGACATGTTTCTAACAACTGAATACCCTGGCGACTAAGAAATGTTTGCGTGGGTTTGGGGTGGAGCGGAGGGTTGCGCTCTGTAACAGTCAGTTACTTAGTTACCTGCTGGTTGAGGTCCGCGCCGGTCTGCAGCTGCCAGAGAAGAAACCAAGCCCGGCCGCCACCTGCGGCCAAGTGGACAGGCGACTGCTCGCAGGGGTCCGGGGGTGCGTTGACCGAGGCCCCGGCCTCCAGCAGGTGCGTCAGATTCTCCACCTGCGGGAAGAGAGCAGCTCCAGCACCCGTCTTGCCTTTGTCCAGCCTCACGCCCTCCTGGGGCTGAAAACCTCCCAACTCTGCAGAGGCAGCGCCCAGTGGCCATTCCACAGTCACCCTCGCCAGCGCTCCCAAGAAGACAGACATCTGGCAGCTTCAGCCTGCGGGACAAAAAGGGTCCGAGTCTCACCTCTGAGTTGCAATCAAACAACAGCATTTTCCGCCTGAAGCAGAGGACACGAGTCGTTGGGCGTGCAGGGCGGCGGGGCACTCGCGGCAGACTGGCAGGTAAGTGTGCAAAAGCCGCCCAAGTGCGGGAGAATTTAAAGTCGGCGGGACGA